GCCATCTTTGCCACCTGCAGCAAGCAGATGACCGTCTGGGTGGAAGGCTACTGTGGTGAGTTCTATGATGGTTAGCTGAGAGCTTCCTTGGCGGCATTGAACATACCTGTATCTGTGTAGACTTGCGTAAGGACTACTGACCCAGCAAGATCGTACAGCACGTAACTCTTGTCAGCGCCCACAGATGCGATGATCTCGCCAGTAGGATGTACAGCAACGTCAGTGGCCACGCCAGCATGCTGATGGAACGTTGCTGTAGCGTTGCCCTCGTTTGCAACAACTACAGCGCCATTGGCTGTAGAGAAGACAGTAGCATCACGAGCCCAAGCTCCGCCAGTGATAGCGCCTGCTCCAAGATTGCTGCGTGTGACAAAGGCACCCTGCTTGATGTCGTAGACAGCAACAGCGCCATCTGAGTCTCCAGTGAGCACCATATCGCCACTGGAGTCCACTGCCAATGCCTTGGCTCCTGTAAACTGTGTATCGACCGTGGCGCCAAATTCGTAAGAAGCTATCGACTCGCCAGTCGCCCAATCGGCTGGCACAGGTCGTTTCCTGCGTGTTGACGAAAGCTCTTGTTGTGTTTGCTCGATCTTCGCCTTGATTGCATCTGTGAGCCCTTGTGCATCCACTTGCATACCGTCGCCATTTGAGCCATTCGCGCTGTTGCCTGCTGTTATTGACAAACGAGCGAGCGCATCGCGTGCTTCATCGCGCTCTGTCTGAAGTCTCGCTATCACTTTTTGCGCAGCATCATTGTAGTATAGTGCCGTGCTCAGTTCTTGCCTCGTCTCTGCCAACTCTTGCTTAAGTGTGTATGCTTCCAAAACCAGAGCATCCCATTCATTCTGGAAGGTCGACAGCAGCGTAGGTATCGATGTGAGCGTTGGCGGTCGTGGCCTGACTACGCGTGAGTTCTTGAGTTCGATCAGGTCATCCACGTTGAGCTCCTCGCCATTGACCGGATCTCGACCGTGCTCGGAGATATACGCCTCAATCAAACGCTTCTCGAAGACGTTGCCTGGAGCTATAGTAAGTTCTTGTTCTTGATCGCGAGGCGCACGAGACCGACCTGATTTACGAGACGTGACCGGCTCTAAAGGCGCCTCGCCAGAGACTGTGATAAGACGTCAGCATGAGATGCACACTTGCACGTTTCGCTCTCAGTACTTACTTGCGCAAAGCATTGTGCGGGTTGTGCTTGTTGTCGCATTGCAAACACAACTTTTTGGTGAAGCTGTAGTACGAGTCGCGAGTCATGCGTGCTCAGGCTGACGCAGGCCCCAGCATTTCTTGGCACAGCGACTCATCAACTTCGTTTGATACACCACATTCATGTATTCGAACAACAACATGCCAACAACTCCGTGTCGCTGATGATCTGTACCAACCGGACGCCAGTTGACTCGTAACGTCTATGCCGGCTTCACGCCGCAGCACCTGCTCATTGCGACAACATGCCGTCCCGTGTGCTTGGGCCGTTCGGTCTCGGCCAACTTTGTTCATCGACCTCAATTCCTTAGACCTGTCTGCATCCATTCTATGAGCAATGAGATGATATAGCTGGCTCACATGCCCGCTCACATATCCCATTTTCGCCCGAGCGAATAGATGAACAACTTCCGGCCACCGGCGATAGCGGGGCTCACCTACCTCACCCCACTTCAACAAATGGCATGCTCAATGGTTCATAATAAACCCCGTAATCTTCTGCTAATCAAATATTTCATACCCTCCTCAATTCTCTCATCGCAAAAGGAACCCAAGCAAACATGGCTACCAGCGTTCTCAAGGTCAAGAGCGGTGTCATCTACGGTGATGACGTGAAGGCTCTCTTCAAATACGCACAGGAGAAGAAGTTTGCTATTCCAGCTATCAACGTCACCAGCTCATCGACATGTGTTGCTGCTCTTGAGGCTGCACGCGATGCTAAGGCTCCAGTCATCCTTCAAGTCAGCCAGGGTGGTGCTGCATACTTCGCCGGAAAGGGTGTCGACAACAAGGACCAGTCTGCATCGATTGCCGGTTCAGTTGCTGCCGCACACTACATCCGTGCCGTTGCACCATCATACGGCATCCCAGTCATCGTCCACACCGACCATTGTGCTAAGAAGCTTCTGCCATGGCTCGACGGCATGCTCGACGCTGATGAGAAGTTCTTCAAGGAGCATGGCACACCTCTCTTCTCCTCCCACATGATTGATCTGTCTGAAGAGGAGGTTGCCTGGAATATCGAGACCACCAAGAAGTACCTTCAGCGCGCTGCACCAATGAAGCAATGGCTTGAGATGGAGATCGGTATCACCGGAGGTAAAGAGGATAGTGTCAACAACGAGGATGTCGACAATGCATCGCTCTACACACAGCCAGAGGACATCTACGAGATCTACAAGACTCTCAGCGAGGTCAGCCCATACTTCTCCATCGCTGCTGGGTTCGGAAACGTCCACGGTGTGTACAAGCCAGGAAACGTCAAGCTTCACCCAGAGCTGCTCTCCAAGCACCAGAAGTACGTGCAGGAGAAGATCGGTGGTAAGGACGAGAAGCCAGTCTTCCTCGTCTTCCACGGTGGATCAGGATCCAGCAAGCAGGAATTCTTGGACGCCATCAGCTACGGTGTCGTCAAGGTCAACCTCGACACTGACCTTCAATACGCATACACTGAGGGAATCCGTGACTACATGAAGAACAAGTACGACTACGTCAGCAGCCAAGTCGGTAACCCAGACGGTGCAGACAAGCCAAACAAGAAGTGAGTTATTAGAGCACGCGCATCGAACAATACTGACAGTTTACAGGTACTACGACCCAAGAGTGTGGGTTCGTGAGGGAGAGAAGACCATGACCAAGCGTGTGGCAGAGGCACTCAAGGACTTCAACACTGCCAACCAGCTGTAAGAGTATCGCATTTAGACTTGATTGTGGATGGTTGACCATACATGTTGAAGTGGAGTTGTGGCAGCTGTGAAGCAAAAGTTGTAGCTGAAGATTGTCATAACCATTTCGATCAAGCTCGTATGTCTATCGCTATGCCATGCTCAGGTTCGCTTGATCGTCGAAGTGCTCTTGGATGTCTCTTTGACACAAATCCGACCAGGAATGAGGTCTTCAGTCTTGGCGCTTACGTGGTCGGCTAAGATTTAGATCGGGAGTGATCCATGCAGCCACCATCTTCCTTAATCTTCAACTCTGTTTCACAATCGTTCGCGCGCTTCCTTGCACGGTGAGAAAGACAGCCACTTGACAGACTGTATCCATCCTTCGGCGTCGCTGGCGGCCACATGCTGACAGGGTACACCTGCAGACTCCCTGTTCCCACGGATACATGCTTGACCGTATCGCTTCTGAAACGCCCGAATGCACCATGTTTGACGATGACACTCTTTTGGTGGCGCGCCGCAGCAGTGTGCTGCCCATATGACACTGGGTGAGCGCAGTCCCATCTTTCTGTTCATTTCTGTCCTTACCATTGTATATACACTTGGTCGTTGCAACATCACGCTCATTCATCACATTCGTTAGCAATTGTCTCGCCAGCATGTCTGCCAGAATCGTTCTCTTTGCGCTGGCCGTATCTCTTACTTCTGCACTGGTCGTCCCTAGCAAGGCTAATGAGAAGCGATCCTCCTATCCTTTCAATCAGATCGTCGCCTTTGGAGATGAACTCTCTGACAACGGCAACGGCAGCTATGCTCACGGCATCACTGGCAATCCCGCGAACGTTTACTCGTTCGGCACCTGGACTGATGGTCCTGTAGCTGTCAGCTATCTCGCTGACATGCTGGGTGTGCCGCTCGTTGACTATGCCTTCGGTGGCTGCTGCGGTGGCGGCACGTTCGGCGCTGTACTTGATAACACCTACACGAGTGGCGCTGCTCAAGTCAATGGTGCACCAGTCCCGTCATTACACGACCAGATCCGCAGCAACTATACTCAGCAGCCAAACAACAACATCAAGAACTCGTTGCAATTCATCTGGATTGGCGAGAACGATGTGTCGATGCATACGGACGCCTTCTGGCAGGGCGATCCGAAGAACGCAGACTTCGCCAAACAGTACTCGTCTCGAGTCACTGCTGAAGCTGAGTATCTCGTCAGCCAAGGAGCGCCGTACGTCTTCGTCGCCAACATATACCCAAAGCACCTTGCTCCTGTCACGAAGACCTATCTTTGCCCTGACGGCAGCTGTGTCAGCACATGGGGAGCCATCATCCAGCAGGCTAACGATGCTCTTGAACAGTCCTTGGCAGCTTCTCCTTCTGCAAGCAAGTTCATCTATTACGACGCCAATGCTTACATTACCGCATTGCTCAACACCAAGGATTATTGGGGTCTATCGGCTCCAGCCAATGTCTTCTGCGATGGCGGTGAAGGGAACGAGTGGGATACCTGTATTAGTGGTTCATATGTCTGGCAGGGAGCGACGAAGTTCTTCTGGATGAACTACATTCAGCCCACTACTACTGTCCACCATATGATCGCTGTCAATATGAAGGAGAGGATCAATGAGTTCTTCGCAGGGCATTACTAGAACAGTAGATGCAGATCTTCCATTCTCTGTACACTAACATTATCAAGATAACGGAGACATGACTCTTTACGTTGACCAGCTATGATCGGATCATCATGCTCTGTGGTGCTTTGCGATCGAGTATGATCTATTCGCAAGCTATATGTTCGCAGATGCTAGTGGCGACTGTATCTCAGGGTGGTGGTATGCTGCGTTGGAGTCCTGTGGTCGCTGCACTCAAATGAACCAATCTGCCACACACCGTAGATCTCTTTAGTCGGGAAGATAGCTCGACCGCGTTACTACTGGCTTGGACGTGGGCTGTACCCCACAAACTGATCGTTATACCCGCATTTCATCACTGCCTTCAACCAACAACGATTTTCAATGCCACACGACTTCCAAACACTCGAATGTTGATTTAGATACATTTCTGAGGTCGTAGAAGTGCAAAAAAGCACGCTGGAAGCCTCAAAACGTCTAAAAATAGTACCAGCATCGTGGATTGAACACGAGACCTCGTCATGTCATGGCTTAGTAAGCATCTTACGAGTGACGCGCTCTACCACTGAGCTATACCGGCAGAAACATTATGAATTTTGAGTTTTTTTAATCATGACTATCAAAAGTTTTGCTCAGAATGCTCGAGAATGCGACGTCACGCGTTATAGCATGAACATGTTGCGCACGGAGTGAGACCATGGCGATAGTCAGATACAACGATGTTACAGATGTGCAGATCAGTCGTTATGTGCATCATGGTAGTTGGTTCGCCCCATCTTCTCAATATTGGCGAGCATACGACTCTTGCTGTTCGAGGGTGTACGAGCTGTGGGGATCTTCCCAATCCTACTCTCGCTAGGTCGACGAAGACCACTCGACATTGCTGAGGGAGGCCGAGAGATGCTCTTGCGGAAGTCTTCGACGACGCTGATGGCAGCTTGTGTAGAATTCTGATCGGACTGTAGTGCAAGCATTTCATCAACGGCGGCCACAAGGTCACCCTTCTCGATGCGCTCCTGCTCAAGAGCACTGATGAGCTCTTCTTGCTGTGCTCGAGAGGTTGCCAACTCATTCTGGATTCTTGCAAGATGCGCCTTGTGCTCTTCAAGTTCGACCTTGAGGTCGGCATTGTCACTGGCGACTGGCATCATCGAGTTGTCCAGGAGGGCCTGCTTGGATGAGTGCAGCTCACTCTCGAGATCCTTGACCCTGGTCTGCAAATCGGCACTTCTCTTTTCACTCCTGGCTTCGTACGACTTTTTGAGAGTCGCAACCTTACGCTCATGCTTCTCTTTGTAGACGGCATGCAGCTCGCGACTGACAGCCTCGATCTTCGCATCGATCTGGCTTGCAACTAGGCGTTGCACTTGCTCGTCCAAATTACCTCCTCCACTCTCAGCAATACTTCGTAAAGCGAGTGCTTCAGATAGACCATTCTCAGCTTTCAAGGCTCGTGATTCGGCGTCCTCAAGGAGTTTCTCAAGTTCTTCCGTCTTCTGCAACAATTCTTCTCGCTCCGACTCACTCTTCAGGACCTCTTCGCGTACGTTGTTAAGCACATTCTCCACCTCGAGTCCTCGTCTCTCCCAGTCCGATCGTTCTTGTTCGGCATGCTCTCGACGGTTCTTCTCCTCTTTCAATGCTTGTTGTGCGTCGCCCACACGCCTCTCTGCGTCACCGATAGCACGCTTCAGACTTTCGGCTTCTGCTTCCCGACCACTCAATGTTGCTTGCAGGCCTGATATTTGGCTCATATACTGACTCTTAAGTGTCTCTAGCTCGCGGACAGTGATGGTGGGTATCGATCGAGGTGTGGGAGCTGGCGGCAGCTCGAAGTCAAGCAGGTTGAGGATGTTACTCTGCTTGGCAGGTGTAGCTAGCGATTGGCGATACCCCTTCGCTGGTGAGCGCTGTCTGTTGAGATGTTGCAGAAGGTTCGGCTCTGTCCTGCTCGTTTGTAGGCGGTTGTACTGACCTGCAGCCTCCATCTGTTGAGTGAAGTCGATCAACAAGGTCTGTGTTCCGTCGTTGCTGGCATTGGGTGTTTTGAGCCTTCGTGGTGTGGGCGATGGCGACCTCGATGGTGAAGATCTCTTCCGTGAAGATCGTGGTGTGCGTTGTGCTGCTAGGCTACTGAGAAGGTCGTCCACTCGCTTCGAGGGTGACTGAGCGTGCTTTACAAGCTGTGGGAGGTCTGGAACCTCAGAGAATGTGCTGAAGCATGTATCGTCAATGCTGGTACCGTCATGTCGCAGCTGTAGGTCAAGTTTGCGCTGACTTGTGCTTAGTCCGGTGCTACCAGAAGTGCTGCCTCTGCTCCCAGGTCGAGAGGCTGAGTATGGTGCTGTCTTGTTCGGTGACTTTCTGGGAGTTCGGCTTGCAGGAGGAGGCATGAGCTCTGAGTCTGTGCTGGATCTGCGGTGCTTGTTCGAGAATGTGCTGCTTCTAAGAGCAAGTAGATCCTGTGATGTTGGCTGGTTCTCCTTATTATCCTTTGTGAGATCGAGTTCGTAGCTATCGAGGCCATGGACGATCGCTGAACTGGTAGAGGTTGCCGCATTGTATGATGCTTGGAATTGCTTGCTGGCACTGCGACTTCGAGCTTCCGCCATTTCGCTGTCGAAAGGCGAGCTTGACCGCCTGTACTGTAGTAAACTCTCATCGAGCACTGGAGATTGTGCCATCGCGAGGTCCATATGGTGTGTGTGCTTGCGATCGACGCCCGCGACAGCTTTCGTGATATCGATTGACTAGCGTGGTAGAGCGTAAACATAGCCGTTGCTAGGCACGCATTCGGCTTCGACCCACTCGCTAGACACGATCTAAACCATCAACCTCACTCATTCTAAACACAAGACAGATATTCATCAGAAGTGCCACCCTACTCCACTCGATACAGCTGCGCAAGTGTCGCAGTACGTCTCGACGTCAAGGAGGTACCTGATTGCAAGTGCTGGCCTTGTGCGACTCTCGCTAACAGATGGACTGTGATCATTGCATTGGTGTAAGCACACAACGTACAGCAACGGAGTGAAACCTACGAGGCTGCTCGCAACCTAGGCGGTCGATAGTGCTTGGCGTCATTCGATCAGCACGAGCTTACACCATGAAGGTCCCAGAGGTCACGCTGCAAAGGCGGTCAAGCTTTCCGACAGTCGTCCCAGAAGTCATACCGTGAGTACATTTTCGATTCATTCTTACATACATCTGGTCCATAAGTAAGCCAGATTCTCATGTTCCTCGTCATTCCCTTTCCTCACGACTTCAGTGCTGCGTGCTTTGTGATCGTCCAGGCCCAATAACTGCTGCTCAAGCTGCTCAATTTCTGCACCAGGGAGAGGTTGTTATCAGTTGGCTTCAAGAAAGGCGATCGTCATGACCATATGGTGACCCAGCCGCTGAGGTTATCTTTGACGGCTCTTCTACAAGCTTCTGGCCTTAACGACCTGTAGGACGAGCATGCTTGACTCGAGCGAAGCAGCTATCGACCTCGACGTCGACAGTTCATTCACAGCCTAAGACGACGCCATGGAATGCGAGCACCATGCTTCAGTACTCTGTGGTAGTTGTATGGTCCTCTGGTGTTGGACTGGAATGGTAGGCCGAAAGCCACCCAGAAGGCACCAAAGGACGTAGCGGACGCAAAGAGAGCGGCTGAGGTGTAAAGTGATGGAGTTGTTGCACCCAGCATTGTGATGAGTTTCGATCTTTGGGCAACACAAGATACAAATTGATGAGTACTTGGTGATGAGTGGAGAGTTGTAGAAGTCTTGAAGGTACGGAAGAGTGGTGAAGACACAGCAGGACTGCGAGGCAAGGGGAGTGTCTGGTCACTGTATACCACATCAATATCACGTTACTCTACCCCGCAAGAACATGTAGATGGGTACACGCAGGCTGCCTATTTCGAGGGTGAGACAAACTGGAGATGCGAACGATTGGTTGTGTCTGCTGCGAGAGGGCGCTAATGCCGATAGCGTCCAATGGAGTGAAGTGAATTGCATCTTGTCACAAGCAGGGTCACGCGAGCGAGCCAACCTTTGTATAAGTATCCGCTCTGCTTCGCACATACATTCTCTGGCGCAGCTTCTCCTTGGCTACACAGCATGGCCGCTTTCGTCAGAAGTTGACTGGGTCACTGAAGCCAACGAGCGAGCCAGAGAGACAGGCTGTGACATTTGGAGTACACATGTACAGGTACTATCTAGTGATCCTTGTCTGTACATCAGCAATGTAACAAAGTCCTCATTGCGTACACAAGCCGGCCACCAATAATTTCCTCAGCTGAGGTATGCGAACCGGAGCCGACGAGACGTAGCCAGTCAGTTTCGTGCAGTGCATCATGGGTATTGTCCCCAGGTGAACGGCTTGCCACCGTTGTCCTTTTCCTTGACGGCACCCTCAAAATCGCTCAGGAAGAGCCACTTAACTCTTCTGGCTACACCCTTGCTGTGCCAGTCGTTGATACTCTTTGGGTAGAACTCCAGCTGGGGAGGATCGACAAGCGAATCATCGTGCGCTACGATGAGCAGCACATTGTCCTGGCAGTCAAACTCTCCGAGCCCTGCGATGGTCCAGTCTGCAACTGGCTTGTCGTGTGCGAAGCTCTTCGTGACGTGGTAGAATGGCTTGGTCGCAGACTGGTCTGGATTGATCTCTTCGAAGAGATGGCCAGGACAGACAGAGGTGTACTTCTTCAGCGGTGAGGGACTTATGTGCTTTGGGAGGGGCATGTGCTCTGTCGGTCTGAACTCTCCGCCGTGATGGCTCGCATCGCCGCCCATGAAAACGAAGGAATCTGCTGTTGTCCTAGCCAGACCACACATGTGACCAATGGAATGTCCTGGGGTATCCAGAAGGTAGAAGCTACCATCGCCGAAGTAGTCGTATGCATGGAAACGGCCAATCTTTAGGCCATGGCCTTCCTTCTCAATGTTGACCTCTCTAACGTTACGACCTTCGAAGTCGGTCTCAAGAAGTGTCGAGTCTGGATTCTTCGGATAAGCAGGCAGGTGAGCTGCTTTGAATCCTGGGCCGACTACGAGTTCAGTAGAGCCTGGGAACAAGCTTGGATCACCAGTGTGGTCCCAATGATGGTGCGACCAGATGATGGCATCAATCGCGCCACCATCGACATCAACGCCATTGTCCTTCAGGATGTTGGCTACGTCACGCTCCACGAGGATACCCCATCCAGCTTTCCTCCATTTTGGAAACATTGGCAGCTTCTGCCAGTCGTATCTTACGCCCAGGTCGAATACTATCGGCTTCCTGCTGGGATGTTCGATCAAGAAAGAGAATGCAGGACCGAGCAAGTATTCATGTCCAACGTAGTCCGGTTGTAAGAACGTGGTCATTGGCAGCTTCAGCCGTGTGGTGCTGGAAAGTGTTGGCCATGTCCTTGATGAAGTTATGACCTACCTGTCGATGACTGACACCTTCACGGAGGTGTCTGATTGTGGGATATTGAGATTAGGCGGTGCCTTGCCAGCGGCGAGTGTATCTTGTGCCATTGCGAGTGACAGAAGATCGATCTAGCAATCTCGTGTCAAGGTAGTCGTTCAAGACAAGTAGACAGCT